TTGTATCCGGGTAACATTTATCACATTCCCAACAGGGATCCTCTACGCCCGGCTCCAGGGACTGCTGCCGTGTGCAAGCAGCAGAACTGGTCTGAACGTGAACACAAAGTGCTCGCAATCTGTCCCAAAAGACTACTCCAAATTAAGACAAAACCCCCAAACAAACAAAGTATCTCAGCACCAGTTTCCCCTTTAACTTCTAAAGTAACAGAGCTGCCCCCAGGCCCCTGGGATATAAAAACACGTACTCCGTGAAAATAAGTTTTGCACTAATGGGAAGTCACCAGCCATCAGTATTTCTTCTTCACACTTCCCACCTACACCGCGCCGCCCAGAGCGTGCAAAGCCACTCGCTCTGCTGGCTCCTGCTCCAGCACTCAGACAAACCCCCGTGATCCTTCACGCTCCTCTCCTGCCATCACGAGTGTCCCGACCGCTCGCCGTGCGGAGGCGTGAGATTCAAACCCGGCACTAACGCTGTTTTCTAACCCTGCACACACACACACACGTATACCCTGGGGGAAGCTACCTACTGCTTCTTTAGTCTAACAACAACTTGGTTTGGTTTTCAATAAATCACCTTTCCTGCTACTCCAATCGTGCTTTTCAACTACGTTTTAAGACAAATACAAGCTTCTGACTTGTTTAGTGTTCTGAGGACTCTGCAAAGATGAAAGGAGTAGAAAATGTGTTCGGGTTTTCTTTTTAGAAACTATATCCTCAATGAAAATCAGATAGAAAAACAGACGCTTTAAAAAAAAAGTTCAGCTTATCTAAATTAGGGGAATGTCCACCGATACAGCTGCCCAGACTCTTGGTACTTCCAGTAAAAAAACTGCCAAAGTAACAAACACTTAACGGTATCTTAAAACTCAATAGGAAGTAACCACCGTGTCAGTAATTAAAAATAATTACAATAAAGTGGTTGGTGACTAAATATCTACTTTGCAACAGCAAGGCTGAAATGATTTCATGAGCTATTTTTCTGTTAAAATAATAGCAAAGCATTTGGCTTGAATAACTGCTGACAGACAGACAGCACAGAGGCAATTCGTAGCAAAACACGGACTCGCTAATTAAGCACGAAGCACCAATCACGTCCTACCAGAGGAGATGTCTGGCTACTAACTGTGTGTTACTGGTGTCATTTCACAGACACCCACACACACGTGTACGCAGCAGTCCCGACCGGCCGCTACCAGGTACGGCTCCGATTCCCATCTGTGCCAAGCAATCGCCGTGCTGGGAAGCACCACGCAGCGTGGCTGCTGCAGGGGCACAAACAGCTGGAGAGCACCACCTCTGGCACGGAGGGTCAGATTTACCCGGTCTTTAAGAGGGAGGGAGCTCAAGCAGCAGGAAAAACAACATAAGGAAAACTCATCCCAGCAATGCAGCTCTGCAGCGTTTTGTTTTTCACCTCGTAATGTCTCCTATGTTTAACTGCTGCTTTGTGGACAGGATAGTAACTTCCCCTTTGTAGGAACTTTGAAGACCATGTCTCATTACCTTCTAACTTTCCCAACAGAAACGGGCTGGACACGATGCCACCACCTCACCTCCCAGGCAAGCGCTCCGTCTGCTCACGGCTAACAGGCACGCCAGCGTGAGCACGCCGAGGACTAACACGGGGATTAAAAAGAAAAAAAAAAAAAAAGTAGAGTAAGCTCCAATTATCAATATCAACTGCTTAAATCCCAAAAGTAAGCGTTCAGGACTCTGATAAAACACAGATGTGGCTCAGCCACATGTTCTCAGGTCTTTCTGCCACGCAATCCTGCGGCCCGTCTGTAAGCTCGTTACTGGCTTATCCCGCCTCTCGTTATCCTCTGTAACAGCCGCTCCCAAGCACTGATCGACCGCTGAGCAACCTCTTCGTTCGCAAGACAAATACTTTTTGTAACCAAATCACATGTTCCAAGTGTTGTACATTTACACACTGACCTAAAATGAACAAGATAAATTTAATACAAGAAAAGAAAGGTGTTATCCAGAAGTGAAAAATGTGATCGCACAGCCCTTTTGTTTAGTTATTTAACTTTTTTTTTTTTTCTCTCTCTTCACAAGCAACCTAAAGTACGCACACGATTCAAACATACCCTTCCCCTGGAGCTGTAGCAGTCTTGGTATGAAGTTCTCTTTTGGACACCCATCTTGTTAAATGGAGATTTGGTCCCTGGTGACTGGGCACTAACCAGCACTTCGACGCACGGATACACCCCTTCGGAACGAGGGAACACACTGAAGCAGCACACAAGTGAACTTGTCCTTCCTATTACTTCTGTGTATGAAGGCCCCAGATGACACCCAACAGCTTGTCCTGGGACTGCGATCCTGCAAAACCCACCAGTTCAGTTGAGTAACTGGCTATGGACTTCCACGGCCACCTGGAAGTTGTTTCGGTCCATAATTCTCAGTCTTCTACATCGCCTCATACAGCATTTAGTCAACGCTGCAAGATTGTGTTTTCATGTCACGAACCATAATGGGATTTTGTTAATATTTTGTCTTAGCAGGAAAGAAAAAAAGAAAATGAAATCACAGAAAGAAAAAGCGTGGTTCAGGGTTACAAAGCAGCTCTGGACACTACGAAGCAGGGAATTCTTTTTATCATGATTAAAGTTTTAAACGTTTTAGCATAATCATAAATTAAGAGTTAAAACACAGAGGTGCTAATAATAAAATATTAAATAGACAGTGATAGTGGATAAAAGCTGAATGGCTCATTCTGAACGAAACCCCATTATTTTAGATAAGCCTAAATGCCTACGGGTTTCCTGACTAGACCGTATTGCTGAGTGACAGACACATCCAAACACACAGGGAAGCTTCTCGTAGCCAGCTGGAACAATACACTGCCTGATGGAATGGCGAGAGATGAACAAGTTATTCATGTTGCAAAAAGTACTTAAATACTCAATAAAGACATAACAAACCCCACCCCACCCACTGTTATCAGACGCCACGTTGTGGTAGAACATCAGACAAACTCACAAATTTACCACAAAAATGTGTGGCAAAAAGAATATTTTATATATATGTATATATATAAATTTTTATATTTATGCCAATGTACTCACTCAGTACAAATAGCAAAATAGTATACCATTTCCTAAATACAAAATATAGCTTTCCAAAAAAATGAAACACACATTAGATATAAACCATCCAAAACTTGAACGATTGAAAACTGTATTCAAAATTAAATGACCCAGAGCAGGTCTCTTTCTGAAAAGTTCCCTTCATATCGGCAAGAAGCCTTACTACTGAAAACGTAATTCAATGCCTCTCAATGAGAGAGAGAAAGAGAGAGACAGAAAGAGAAAGTGAACGTTAGGACAGACTGACGAACGGGAAAATCCATTAAAACAAACAGAAACTCTACACGGCTCAACTAAGCACACAAGTTAAGGGGAAAAAACACACAGTAAACAGACTACAGGAACTTAAAAACCATTTACAGACTGGTCTTTGTTATTTAAAATAACAAAAATGAAAAATGACATGATACCAACTACAGTCTGCCCAGGCACGACAGCCCCACGCGGCGGCTGTTCGGCTCCAACTGCAGCAACAGCTTTCCACGTGCAGAAGGAGAAACAAATATTCCGACTGAGGCTGTAGTGAGATATCACAGAACTGTCCGCACAGCTGGAGCACCCAAAAATTCACATGCCTCACAACACAACTGCATGGGCTGGAGTGGGTTGTTTTTACATTCTGTAACATCAGTCAATTTTTTTGTGTGTGTTTTTTGTTTTTTGTTTTTTTTTTTTTAACTGAAACATGACAATCTAGGAACTAGACGTGAGGGACTGTTGGTAGGAAAAGAAAAATCACTTCAAAACGGCAACGAGCTCAATATGCTACAAAGATGCAACAGCTCAGGATGAAGTGACGTTTTCAAGAATGCTTAAAAATGATGTAATGTGCCCCCTATTTGGAGTAAAGTCAAGCTGAGGATTTACATCAGTAACAGCTGGAAAATGCCTGGTTAAGGGGGATTCCCGCATTTAGGAGGTGGTGGAGAAATTGCTTCCTCTTTCCTTAATCCTTGATTATTTGTCAAAGCTTCTACTGACTAAGCAACTGAACGCCATGGATTCCTAAAAGCTGCTTCTGATCTTTCAAGCCAGCAGGATGCTTGTGTCTTTTTTGAAAACGCAGTATGAAACCAAGGGGGAGAGAAGGAAAACGGTGAAAAGAACGAAGGGAGGAGGCTGGTTTGAGCGTGGCTAACGCAGCTTGATGGAGTTCGAACCCCAACAGTCGAAGTGAGAGACAGAGGAGTTCTCTCCTCGGCCAGCCACAACGTTCTTTTCAAGCTGAAGGTATTTTAGAGGATAAGATTTCAAGAGCAAATTTCCAGTAAGAGTTCCCCTTCATTTCTTCAGAGCCACCAAACCCTTGCTCTATGTACAGTTACACATAGGAGACATGGAAAACCGTTCATGTTCCGAGATGGGAAGCACCCACCTGTGGCTATCGACAGCAGCAAGCAGTTCTCTGCTTGCTTCTGACAGTTCTCAGTGGTTTTCCGTGCCACCTACTGCAATTAACAAATGCAATTATTCGCTCTCCCACTCAGCTGCAGGACACACGAACCCTCCGCTCGCCGACAGCTGAGAGTGGCTCGCGTCGCAGCCGTTCGGTGTTTCTGCATCACAAGCTTCTCTAGTCAAAAGAGGGGATGAGAAGGAAGAGGAGGAAAAAGAAGTAAACGTGGTAACATGTACTACCTTCTAACAACAATAATAACTGACCAGATATGCTTTAAATTGAAAGAGCACCCCACCAGTAAGGAGGTTGAGGAACCTGGTAACGGCAGGATCCCACGCCCCAGTAAAACAAAGCATAGCTCTTCAGCATTATTGGCACTGCGAATGCCAAACACGACGGTCACAGCCCTAGGTGCTAGACGCTGCAGTCGGCCACGTGTGTGCTCTTTAGAGAAGACAGCCACTTTTTGACAGAAGCAATCGGTTCCACACAGCCTAATCCAGAGTCGGAAGGTCTGAGAGGATCTGGGAAACCATCACTTTTTTTCTTCACAGAGTTTCTGCAGGAAAAAACAAGCAAGCAAAACAGTTAGGTGTAACTAACTAAAGTCATTCTCTTACTTTTATGTAGCTCCTTCGTCTTGAAAGTCTCCTTCACGAGCAGAGAGGAAACTATGAGCGAGCATCGCAACGCAGCACTCTTTCATAGAGCAGGATTACTCTCTTTCCACTGACTTTTTTTTTTTTTTAATTTAACTTCATATACAAGGCAGTTTAGCTTAGAAAATGAAGCGTATCGCTTAAGTGAAACTTACTGGGGGTTTAGCACGGCAACACTAAAGCCATGTTAAATGGGTGGGCAATGCCAGATTCCAGAGTTCTCCTGGTTCTGAGCACTCAGCTGTAGTCGAAGCCTCTTTCACCTCTCTGAAAAAGGCACTTTCCAAGAGCAGAACGTTTCCCAGTAACAGCTGGTAGCGTGGCTCGTTGCATGTGGCACGCTCTCAAGAGCCACCATACTCTACTGAAACTTGTTTTCACATCACAGTATTGTAACCCGGGGGCAGCTTCAGAACAGCACAGACTTGAGGTGTTATTTACTCAACAAGCCTCAAGTTTTTAACTACAGTCACATTTCCCAACGCTTTTATCTGCCACGCTCTCAGTCATCCTCTCTCCCTCCCAATAAAGTCGTAGACTAACAGTAGAAGACAAAACATACAACAACTGAACAAGTCCCAGTCTCAACCGTTTCATACAAATTCTGATCTCTGGGTTTGATAACTCTTCATCCTAGCCACTGGTGTTATATTCTTAATTCAGCATTACTGGGATTTCAGCTGGCCTCTTTAAGCCCAGCGATACACTCCGAAGTAAAGACGTCCTGAACAAAAGCAAGCACAGCAGGAAAGAACCCAGAACCCAAACACATTACTCACTTGACTGATCAAAACGAGCCGGCCATGTTGTTCCCCTGGTTTTGCAAGGACACAAGCAGATCATCTATTTTCTCAATGTTCTGATTGGCTGCCATAGCTGCAGGTAGCGGAGGAGTCTCCGGTATCTGCTGGGACAGAAGCGCTGGCACTGCTGCTTGCCCCTCGTTCTGTGGCTGACCCGGCTGACTTATGGCCATCAGCTCATCTGGCAACGTCGCTGGCCCAGAAGTCAGCAGCTGCCCACAGTCTGTTAAGCATAAGTGAAGAACGAAAAACCGTTTGAATTAGGTTAACAGGAGCAGTGAATTAGCCTACTTCTTCACATACATCTATACTGACCATAAACCATGTACAAAGTTACGTGCCCCTTTGTCCACTTGCCCACCTTTGCCCATCGCTCCCTCAGGGTACGAGCGAGGTTCAAGGTGCCCACATTGAATATATGGACTCTGCATTATGGCAAACACTGTGAACACCCTAGAGGACAACACTGAGCTAGAAGACAGACAAAATGCACAGCCCAGAAGAAGCGTTGAGTAAGACCATCCTTTGTCTGTCTTAGTTACAGATGCGTCTTTCTCAGTTCGGCCAAGGCACCCACCAGCTCCTTCTAGAGATCTCCCACCGTTCGAAGCGTTATCTTCAGCTTCATGGAAGGCCTTGGCTGCACGTGGCCTGAGTGTCATCAAGCTCATACAGCAAAGCACGTACTGGGGTACAACCACAGAGCAAGAACACAGCTATGGCCTTCCCAGATCTTTTATAAGACGCTATAATCATCCTCTGCATCTGCTACTTCTGGAGCTTCACAGGTACGTAACAGCCCTTTGCAGACAGATGGAAAGATCTACAGCCCAAAGAACTTGTCGCAGAGGCTAGATTCAGAGAGGCACCATGGAGAAGTGCTTATGAAGTTAAAGGGGTTTCAAATATACTTCAATAGGCACTTCTCTGGACTACACAGTTTTAAAAAAAAAAAATCCTTCCTTTCAACAATGTGTGGAGAAAGTCATGGCATAAATGGTGGAAATCAAATGCAGTAAGAGAAGGATTAGTGGAGCTGTCTTAAGAGGGTGTAATTTTTTTCCTTTTTTTAAAAAACGTGTGTGTACATGTATTTCATCTATTATTTGCGTATCTATTGTTAACAATATTATATGTAATAGTTGTTTATAGATACACACACAATTCTAAGATGGTTTTGTCACATGTTAATCCTAAGTGTAAGACCACCAACAGGTATTTAGGCTGAGTCCTCATGCAAAACCAGCAACATAAGAGTATGTTCAGAGCAACACGATCAGCACGTGTATTCTGTTGTAGCGCTACATTACTTATTTGAGGATTTTCTTTTTTTGGTAAGGAATATGTTAGAATGGAATGATCAGTTGTCTTGTGGACTCCAATTAGTGGCGCTTCTAAATTGTCAACTCAGAATCGGGCATCTACCACTTACTGTTCTGAATGCCAAACAGGAATATTCCTGATGTCTGCTGAGAGGAGGCAGGAGAATTCTGCAGCTGGCTGATAGCACCTCCTGCTGTGTTGTGAAACAAAGCAGCTTGCTGCTGCGGAGGAGAAGCGGTCCCTTGCATTACTGCCATGCTGTTTTGAGAAGAGTACATCGGAGACTGCTGCAGCTCTTGCTGGCTCATACTATTCTGCAAGGCAGACATGGAAGCTGAAGAGATGAAGAGGGTGACTTGTTGCTCTTGAGAACTTGGTGATCCTTGGACCAGCTGAATCTGGGGTGAGTTATGGAAGATGGCTGGCTGCTGCGCTTCAGCCTGATTGGATCCAGGATTCTGAAGAGAAGACACTGTAGTCTGACTCTGGAATTGCATGGGCTGCTGCTCCTGGTTCATCGATGCCATGTTAGTCTGTGGGTGAAAAATGGACTGGCCTTGCTGCTCCTGATTGGTAACTGGGTTTTGATTTGGATTGAAAATCATGTTCTGCTTTTGAGAAGCAATCGTACTCATCGCGTTTTGATTACTGAACATCATGTTCTGCTGCTGCTGCTGCTGCTGTTCTTGAGACGGAGGACTACTCTGAATAGCAACTATCGAATGCTGAGGCTGGAAGATAGCTCCTTGTTGGTTCTGGGGAATTGAACTGGACTGGATGGAGCCTAATGACACTTGAGACTGAAACAAACCTTGCTGAGCAGGCTGAGTCTGGGGCTGTTCTTGGGGAAGCATAGAACTCTGGATATGAGATATCTGTGTCTGTTGCTGGAAAGAAGTCTGCTGTTCAGTGTTTGTTGCTGTCTGCAGAGGAGAAATGGAATTCGGGCTTGTAAAGAACGACATCTGTTCTTCCTGAGTTGCAGGGTTGCTCATTGAACTCTGGGAGAGGAACATGTTGGCAGACTGCTGGTCTTGAGGAACTGAAGAGCTCTGTAATACACCCATGGTGTTCTGCGAGTGGAATATTGGAGGCTGCAGCTGGTCTGAGGAGTTAGTACTGGTCTGGTTGTGGACAATGGAATTCGGACTGTGAAAAAGAGAGCCTTGTGTCTCCTGCGATATATTCTGAGCATCACCAATAGGGTTCTGAGAGTGAAAAAGCTGAGCTTGTGAATGTGGAGACTGCTGCATAAAGCTTCCCGACTGAATAGACATCATTTCTCCACCTTGCTGGAAGAGGCCACCTCCTTGTTGTTGAGTTCCGCTTGCCTGAACAGTCATCATGTTTTTGGTAGATGGAAAGAGATTAACTTGGGATTGACTTTCTCCACTATGCTGCATTTGAACCATGGTCTGAAATACAGTACTTTGCATCTGTTTACTCTGTCCGGAAGCTTCTTCTCCATCTGCAGAATTGGACGCCTGAAACATAGTAGCTCCATTGTTGGAGACCTGCTGCTGAGCAGTAGGAGCAGTCTCACTTCCAGAAACACCAGGAGACGAAGAGAATAATTCACACTGCATCTGCATGTCTTCGCTTGTTGATAACCCACTCATTATGTGAGGAGTCTGCTGGTAAACGGGTGACTGTTGGAGGGCTCCATTCCCTGAAGTCGTTGAAGAGAACAAATCAGACTGCATCTGTGTTGCAGCTTGGCAAATGTTTTGTTGGATTCCTATCACCATTGCTGCAGAAGTCTCCATCGCCTGCTGCTGCTGCTGTTGCTGCTGTTGATTGGACAACGTGTTTTCAGGCTGTGAGTGAACATTTTCAGCTCGTCCAGGCAAAAGGTTCTCTGGTCTGGAATGGACAGCTGTGTCAGATGAGGAAAATATCCCAGAATTGACACTATTTTGTATCTGGCTAACTTGCTGAAAGATATCTGCATTTAGCTGGTCCTGAACATCCTCACTGCTTTCCGAACCAGAAAATAAAACAGAAGATAACTGCTGTTGAGCTTCCAGTACCTGTTGCACCAAGTCAACGTTTCTGTTGCTGCCAGCAGCAGTGCTAGTTGGAAAATTTCCAGCTTGCAGTTGCTGTATAGTGTTCTGTAACTGACTCACGCCGCTCGCTGATGAGAAAATACTTGACGAAATCTGTTGCTGCAATGCCTGTGCTGGTTCCGAGAGCGCAGACTGCTGTTGTTGTGATGCATCAGTTAATTGTGACAAAGTGACTACCGAGCCATCCGACTGCAACACCTCCCTGGTTTGGGAATCTCTTGTTTGGAACTGCGCAGCTTGCTGCAGTAACGCATCACTGTTCTGCAGCTGACCTGGAGTAGAGACTGCTGAAAAGCTACCAGGCTGGGAAACGTTCTGTGTTGGGATAGTAGTTAGTGTCTCTGGATTGAACACCTTCGGCTGTATTTGTTGCTGGTTTTCATTTTCAGAAGCTAAGTGGGAAGCAGAAGTTGATATTCCGGACATACTGTTTTCCAATGTTTGTTGAGTTGGTCCAACCACATTAGAAGCCTGAAAAGAGCAATATGTTAAGCAATTTGTAAGCTTACTCAGGTTACACTTATAAAATTTCCACCAATCCACAACTCAGGAAAGATCAGACGAAGATCTGACGGCTATGTATCTCTCCACACACAACCAAACAAGTACGCAAATGACTAGCAGCGGAAATGCTACTTCAAGGGAGAAGTCAAGGTACAATTTAATGAAAGCAATGCTAGGAAGTGAATAAAATAATATTTTTACAGTAATTTACTAGTTCTGTGTCACAGGACAAAACCCCCACATGACAGTATCACTAATCAATCCATCTGTTTGAATGCAGGAACAAGAGAAGTCACTTTCAACGGGAACTGCCCGTTATTTTAATCACGCTCTGCGATCCTACGTTTTGCCCAGACTGATCTCGGACACGACATGGTCCCAGGGTGTTACTCTTCTCCACTATTAGTACATGGACTGGCAGGGAGATGTAACCAAGACTACCAAAGCTACAGTCTTCAGACCACAACCAAACTTACCTTGAAGACAGGGGGAGATCTTTTTTCTGCACTTACTTCCATCGGAGCCACATCTTCATTCTTAATCATACTGCTTGGCATGAGTGGAGTTATCAAGGCACTAGGAAGAATGTTTACCTTCTCCAGGTTACAACCAGTGGCCTTCACTGCTGCATTCACAAATAAAAACAGAAGAAGGGCAATGGAATGATAACACTCACTAGGCCAAGAGTGGGTTTCTGCTGGTGCCCTGCTTCCCGTGTCACTTGTCAGCCCTACCGCAAGAGCTCTCATCCCTGTCCAAGACACTCATGTGCAGAGAGATCACTGCAAACAACACTTCAAATAAACCTAGAAAACCTGAAGCCTTCAGAGGCTATTTTTAAGACTAACAGCAATGCCATAGTTTTGTTTTCTTCCATTTCCCATCGTTTTAGACCAGGACAGCCATCCACCAGCTGCTTAAGCTACAAACACAAAAGCTTACGACACCTTTCCACAAATTATCAGATTTTAAACTTTACTGCACGTCAACTGTATAACTTTTCTATTTTATTTTGAAAAATGTCTGTTTTCAGATAAGCATGTGAACAGAGTGCCCAAAGCATTCAGACTGTATTTTCATTCTGTTAAATGACTAATCAAGTAAAAACCTGACAAATCTGCGTGCCAGCTCTGTAGCAAGAGCAAATTGCTATTTTGCCTTTGCAGTGCCTATTTTTTTTTTAAAGTTAGAAAGGTGGCTTCTTAAAATGAACCTTTTTAGTTTTAATTTTTCCTGATCCACATAAAAAATACTACATAAGCTATCTGAGATCTTTGCTGTAAATGAAATTAACTTTCTTGATTTCACCTACCGCTGAAATTGAGCTTAAAACAAACCAACGGGAAAAACTGTAAAAAACATCGTTCCAGAAGTACTTTCAAGTAAATTAAAGAATTAATCTTCAACAGTTGTCAATATACCGACAGTCAAATTTTTTTTTCCCTCCTTCTGTTGACTCAGGGGCTTGGGGTGGCTCCAGACATACAAGCCCTGTGACCCAACGTGTCGGGGAACGCGGTTTGAGCGAGTCTGTTGTGAAACACGTCTGCTTCAGGACAGCCAGTCCTGCAGTGTATTAAACACAGCAGCCAGTATTTTTCTATCCTGTAGTCACAATTTATAAGCTTTTCTCCTCTACGTGCTCAGTCATGTTGTGCTCATCAGAAACAATAAAAAAATCTGTGTAAGTAATAAAAAAAAAAAAACCCTAACGGTACACAGATCAGATTCCAGCAATGCACGTTTGTTCATAGTGACATATTTGGCTGGAAGAATGATAAAAAAAGAAGTGAGACTAATAATGAAAAAAGTTTCAAAAGCAGAGAAATACTGTTGGTTTTGGTCTTTTACTATGTTTTTGTAACACAGTTTAGAACTTCTGCATAGTTGCCACCTTATCAAGGCAAACACATCCTCTTTCCTTTTTCTCTCAAAGCTGGAAACTGGAACCATCATTAACCAGTTAAAAACAGTGCTCCAGCGCTACTGCAATGTTAGAAGGCAAAGACCTGAACTAAGCAGCTGTCCATACAGCCTCAAGTTTTACAGAACAGCTGAGAATTACAGATTTGTTGTCTCAAAAAGTAAATCATCACTGAAGTCTGTCAAATCTGCAGACTCTTAAAACATTGGAGCTAAGAATCTGTAATGGCTTCGGGAAGCCACGTTTGTTTGGGTTTTTTTCCCACACATGCAGATGATGTGATAGAAATCATTTTAGGGAATATTCACAAATTCCTGAGACAAAGATTAAAATGCAGGGTAGGAAGAGAAAGGCCCTGTAGCTCAATATGTAACTGTACATGTCTCTGGCAGCAACAGTCCGTTCTGTTCGGCCAGGGCTGCTGGAAATGATGCCACTAAACAAACGCTGAATTCTAGGATTTAGCTCCCAGTGAAAGGAAACAGGAAGGAAGCAGCATCTCACTGGATCCCCACCTGGACTTTATCATTTCAGACCAGTGAGCAATGACAGGCTGGGACACATGCAGAGACAAACTACGTCAAGTGGACAGAATTGTCTGACCTCTGGTTCCTGATCAGCCTAGAGCAGAACGGGTACAGGAATGGACTGTGGAAAAAGAGCTGGCCAACAGAAACCCCGCACAGAAAGTAAATTAAGATTTATCATATAAATTCAATGGAGGACATGAAGCAACACAAATAGCACCTTGTGTTCTTACGAACAGCAGACGTTCTCCCGAAGCAGCTGGTATCTTCCCTTGGTTAAGCCTCCACACTAAATTAGATGGATGCCAGGCTTGCCCTGATACATTAGTTATTGTTTGCCTCATCTTCTTAATCTTGCTACTAGAAGTCCTTTTAACAGCTTGTTTCATTGCCCTAAATATTTTTGCATATTTCTCCCTCAAACATTCTCTGCAAGTTTAAACTCATCATATCTTGTATTATCCTCCCTAACAAGTTGTAAAGTCAACTTGTAAACATATCCCCTGCCAAGACCCAGCTATTAACTTCAAACATGAGCTTCAGGATTTTAACCTGAAGCTATGGATTCCTATCAAACTTGTGATCACATTGTTAATTTGCTTACCTTTCAACCTGTTTTCACCAGAGCAGGCTATGGAAATTTCCATTAACCTCTGTACACTGCCATAGCTTTAACGATCAACTAAGAAACATTTCCTTCCTCTACTTTATCCCAATATCAGAAGGATCAATCCACTTCACACTTAAAAACCAGGCAAACCCAAACCTTGCTCCCTTGGAACAAAGCTACAAACTGTGTGGACAGAACAGTCAAGAAAAAAACCACCTCCCTGACGGGAGCAAGTTGAAATGGCCAGAATTAGCATTCCTCACCAGACCCGTTGGAAGTGGTCTTACAAAACCACTGGACAGCTTCCCAAAAATGCCAAGTTGGCGTGTTTGTGTTTTCCAGTGCTTGGTTCTTCCCCCACCTGTGTGTTTTTGCTTAATTTAACACCACACATTTTCTAAATCCTTTGTATTAACTGCCCCATCTTAGGCTTCTCCCTTTTTAATTCTTCACTTGCAAGCATATTAAATGAAGATTAGACTCCAGGGCCTGAGGCATGGAATTTTTTTTTAATTATTATTTTTTGCAAAGTTTTTGTTCTATACTAGCTCATGTTAAAATACATTTAAAGGAATACTGTTATAAAGTAAAATATTCAGCATCAGAAAACAAGCCTCTCTGTAAGAATATAGTCAGATCTTATAAGCACAGACTTATCTTCACAGGACACCTGACTCATTCCTTCAAATTTGGGTAGGAATTTATAGTTAAATTATTAACAATGATAAGAATCAATTTAGTACCTTTTATAGCCTCTTCAAAACAACAATGTTGGGCTGGGCTGGAGATTTCCTTCTTCACATTAACATTCTGAGTACCAGCTGTTGAGACAAAACACATGGAAAATTTACTTTACGTTAAAACAACAAACAAGCAAAAAAACCAAAGCAAACCAAACCAGATACTTATACCTTAAAGAAATTAAGGTTCTTTGAAACCCAGAGAAACATTCTGAGTCATACATAAACTTTGTTTGTGGCTGTGAATGCACCAATGATCACAGTGCCCAAAATCTCCTTTTCACTTCCAAAAATGAAAGAGTCAGTCTGCAATTGCGCTGCGTATTGTAACGCAGATAAATAAAAATACATTGTATGGTCAAACACCCGCCTTCCTTAGGATAAAGCTTGGTGCTATTTTTGGTTTGCATTTGGTGCACTGTATGTAGTATGTCTACTTTTCTTCCTGCTCAGTTTCATTTTGAACCCTATCCTAGAAATGGATGCTACTTTATAAGAGCAGCTGTCTCCGTGCAGCTGAAATTTAAACTGCCTGCTACATAAATGGGAACAGCCAAGTCCTTAGAGTTTATTATTTAACAAAGCAAACCTCATCAGCACGAGCAGTTTGAAAAGATTCACATAATTTAACATTTCTGCTGTGTGGACTAAGTACTATGAAATCAGAAGTGAGATGCTTAGGAGGTAAAACCACCCATTCTTTTTCCACTCCTCTGGTTTACATACATGTGTCTGGAGTGTATGTAAATGGTTGCACATCGTGTGATCTTCCAGCATTGGTCACCACATATATTCCCACCGAAACAGCTGAGGTTATTTGCTGGTCGTGATATGGTGGCACCTTCACAATAAGGTGATTCTGCAATGCAAAGATAATTAAAAAAAAAAAAAAATCAAAAATCACATTAGAAACCTTACTTTATTACTATTGACCTTGATCCCTAAGGTCTTTTCCAACCTAGAAATCTATGAAATCTATGAAATCTATGAAATCTATGAAATCTATGAAATCTATGAAATCAGAAAACAGACTGACAAAACACCATAAAAATCAAAGACATAGGGGAAATGTGATCAAGTTACACCTTCAGTAACTAACTCATGCTAGAAGAGAGATTTGAACCATCTGCCTGTACGGCGCTCGCTGGCAACCTGCAGCTGAAACAGAAGGGGAAGGAAGGACGGACGGACGTAGGAAGCCCAGTGCTTAAGCACAAGCGTACACCTAACATGCCTCAGTGAGCTGCAACCAGTCTGCCACCAAGTTCTGCTGGACTCAGACACTCCACTGTTCTGCTGAGGCACATCTTTGTACTGGGTGCGAACAGAGGATGCAGGTTCATGTCACGCTCCAGCGGATTTCACACCCAGCAGACTCGAAATCCAGGCTTGCGCTCATCCAACAGCCACAGCCATGAGCCATCTATGGGCTGCCTATTCCCCAACTATCTATCCCCCTGGAAGCGCAGAATCACTTCTGCCAGGCATGGAATGCTGCCTTCAGAAGGGGGAGCAAGATGAGATTTGTCTGACGTCATTTACATCTAAATCTCTCTAATTTCAGTCCAACAGGCCATAAAGACACTTAATTGTGTCAAACAGAATAAACAAATATTCTGCGAAACATTTTCAAGTGGAACAGAAATCCAGCCAGGTGTAACGACTCCATCGTACACCCGACCTGTTCCTACTCAGCAGTAATCCAAGGTGTTCTCGGGAAAGCTGCTGGGAAAACTGTATCAGGCCTTTTAATCACACTGTATGAACGGGCACAGACCCGCTCACCCAGTTCGTACACCCCACTCCTACTGTGCTAGCTCAGTTCCCAGTCAGAAAGTGAACAATTATAGCTGTCTAAACCTAAAACAATGATATTCTACCAGACTCACTAAAGAACTTATCTGAGGAAAAAGAATATTATTTCTAGAAATGCACAGGAAGAGGGAAAGGCTTATTCTATTTCCCTTTGGGAAGTGAATCAGAGGGTTTTTTTAATGTAATAACAACACAAAAGTACCTGATGAAATAATTCCATGTCTATTTCAGCTTCTGCCTTCCAAGAATTCTCATCTAAATGAAAGTTAAAAAGCATAATTTATTGCACATCCTTATAAAGCAATTTATTTTAGTGCCTTTGATTCTGCTTCTCAGTTTGCTCTCTGCAACCACACTTTATCAACCAACATAGACCCCAACACGCTCTCTTCAGCACCCCAAGCCAGTACTGCTTTCACACTAACCAGAAACGTTTTCCTGGAAAATCACTTTTGTTCCCTTTAGAAAGTTCTTGCCAATCAAAAAAACCTCCTCTTCCCCCTTCACCGAACAACTGTGCAGGCTTTTCTTTAGGATCTCGGGAACTCCGGCTGGTTGAGCTGAAATTGGAAAAAAAACATACTTTGAAATCAAGAAAACATCAACATCTGAAACAAAAAGCTTTTACTTACAGGATTACAAAGCAAAGAAAAAAAAAAATAATTCCTGAGCCTCTTCCTTTACTATATCACATTCATGACACAACTTTTCAGAAGACAACTGTTTTTATTATTTCCTCGCTAAATATGATGATCTCACAAAAATCACACTTAGGTTAATGATCCAGTAAATCGTTTCCCTTTTCTCCTGTGTTTATTAAATCTTCCAAATGAAACTTTCAGTAGTTGAGCTAAAGCTCAAGAAGTGTTCAGGAGAGAAGAAAATTTGAGTCTGTAATTTCCTGGCATAGAGAGTGATAAACAAAGGCATCAGCCCTCAGACGCGGCTGACGCACACCTTCGAGCTCATGAGAACATTTTTTATGAAGATTATTTTATTCTGGTATGCAGAGGAGTAGAAGCAGTAATTCCCATATTATTAGTTTTTACAGACTTTTTTTTTTTTTTTTACAGGACATAGCCTTCTGGCTGGTGCAAGAACCCAGGGCCTTGGGCAACCTGATGGAGAGCAAGGTGTCCCTGCCCACGGCAGGGGGCTGGAACTGGATCACCTTCAACATCCCGTCCAACTGAAACCATTCTAGGGTTCTGTGATGACTCTCTAAGACCTACACACTTCAGCCAACACGAATCCTTGCAGGAGTCGCATCTCTCCAGTTGGGAATTACAGCAATTTAGACCCTATACACTAGCAAAGAGAACGCGGCTTACGGATACACGTCCCGGGAAACCTCTGGCCAGTGATTCGGGGGATGATTTACGTAACAACTACAAACTGGCTTTGCTGCAAACCATTCCTACCCTTCTTCAAGCAGAAATCAAATAAGACCACGTGTGCCAAATGAAAACGAGCACCAAAGACAATTTAAATACAGACATTTTAAAATAAGGTACGTTGACTTTGTCGCATTCCACCTGTTAGGAAACATTTCCAGTTTCTAACGAAGTTTCTCAAGCACCTTTTCTATCCACCACAGACCCTCGTGCCAAAGCTGGCACTTGCACGTTGCACTCACGTGGCCCACTTTTGTGTTCAACAGCAGCGTCCTCTGGGCTCACCACCCAGAACACACGTACTGCAACACTCCAAATTATTTAATGACCTTTCAGAAAGGATTTTTCTACAACTGTCGCAGCGGGTTTCCAGGCAACCATTGCACAACTACTAAATATGCTCAAGGCACATGAACTCCTGAAAAGGGGAGCTGGATTTCGGTCTGCCACCAAGTTAACAAAGTCTATTTAAGACACAGACCTTCATAAAAGGCCTGCACCCACTTAAAGTCTTTCCTGCTGTTTCAGGAACATTATTGCAACGTGGACAGCAATGTCAGTTATGAAAGACAACAGGAGCAGGCTCTGATGAGTGAAAACGTGACCCTTACTATGACGTGGTAGAGCACACACCTGCAAGAAGATGCACGTAGCAAAGAAACCGGATGTAATGTGCTGGAGGAGAGGATTTATATAAACAAATAACTTAATAAACAATGAAGTTTTATACCATATTGATCAGACAGTATGTATGTATCAGCACTGTTTGGTTGTCTAGGGTCTACTGCAAGTCGCCAGAACTTGGGAGTAAGTTAAGACAGAAGCACAGAATCCTGGAAAGAGCCTCAAGAATTCCCTTCTGAACCTTCATACCATGACCAGTTTTACCCACCTCATTCCTCAAAGACACAAGTCTAACCAGAGTATTTTGTTTCTTTGTTTTAGACTTCCAGCAATGGAGATGCTACAAAATATTGAGCTCCTGGAGCGAGTCCAAAGAAGGGCGACTAAACTGGTCAAGGGGCTGGAAAATAAAACTTATGAAGAGAGGCTGAGGGAGTTGGGGTTGTTTAGCCTGGAGAAGAGGAGGCTGAGGGGAGACCTGATTACGGCCTATAAATACTTGAGAAGGGATGGTGGGGAGGTGGGGGAAGGGCTCTTTACATTAGTGATGGGTGATAGAACAAGAGGAAATGGGTATAAGCTTAGTCAGGGGAGATTCAGGTTGGATGTTGGGAAGTATTTCTTCTCTGAAAGGGTTGTCAGCCACTGGAATAGGCTGCCCAGGGAGGTGGTTGAGTCCCCATCCCTGGATGTGTTTAAGAATAGGGTGGATGATCTACTTGAGGATATGGTTTAATGGGGATTAGGGATGGTTGGACTCGATGATCTCTAAGGTCTTTTCCAACCTAGAAATCTATGAAATCTATGAAATCTATGAAAATTGCTGGACAACCTCTGAGCTACTTAAACAATCAGGAAGATTTTCTTATCAACTGACCAAAACCCAGCTTGCTAAAAACTAAACCAATTTACTTCTTACTGTATTTTTTTTTAAAAAAAAACAAACTTTATTTATGAAAGGATAACTTCTTTCCTTCTTTCCTTCTTCCTTTTATTGTAACATCCCTCTGTATGTCATCACTTCCATATATTCTGCTTTTTTACTCACTGCCCATATCTCAAAACAGCCACTAACGTTGCAGGTGTAAATGGATCCATTCAACAGAGCGAAGGCTACACGGGACCCTCATAAATCAATGCTGGAACGGCCTTACCAACAAGCTAAGCAGGAAATGCATCAAATCCAGCTTTTTTTAGCTAAACAGCCTATTTTAAAATCAGTCTCTAAAACATCTCAGACTCTCTGCTTTTACTTACAATAGCAAGTTTTGGATTGATAAGTGTTTAAGATAAACAACAGCCGACTTCCATTCTTCCTGCTATGATTTAAATATTTTCTCTTTAACCAGTAATTTAATGATACAAACAAATATTTGGAGATTTTGTAGAAAATGTTTTTTTTTTTCCTCAAATGTGAAAATTAGTATCTGATACTACAATGCTTTACTGACTGGAATGGAGCTACAGAGACAACCATATTTCCAGCAAATGTACTTGTGTATTTTCCTAAAAAAAGCCTAAGTCTGAGAACCCCACCAGTGCAAAAAACACTATAAAAAGAAATATTTTTGCTCTTCCTGTCACTTTTTGCTAAAAGAGGGACAGGAACACCTCAAGCTGACCTTTCTGGAAAAGCACCCCAAACGTCAAATTACTGCCCAAGCACAGAACACGGCTGAGGAGAGAAGGAGAGTCCTCCCCTGCATCACGTCTCTGGTTATGAGCCTTTTCAGGGTTTCCACAGGATCACTGCTCTCCCTAAGTCCTGCCAAGGGATCCTCTGTGAGGGTGGAATACTGGGAGGAGAGACGGGCTACATGGCCCAGGTGCCGAACCACCTGCTGCCCGCGGCGCTGGAATCGCGCGGTGGTATCTGATGTGGGGCTCTCATGTTTCTAATGACCTCCTCTTCCAATCTGTTCCTTCGCTGGCGACGAAGCTGCAGTTTCTGACGAGTTGAATAAGAGCCCTGACACAATAGGTACTGACAGTGTTTAGGAAAAAGAAAAAAACCCAAAACAATAACTTCTTTTTATACAACAGGAAGAGCCCAACACGAGTGTCCAGCAGCTTGCATAACCATCCTATGCTCCACACACGGAGAAAAAGCCTTCCTACCACCTCATTCATCAACAAGTATCAACAATCCCATCAACAGCTGTATCTAACACACTTCCCTGTCTCTTCTCTTTGACAGAAGAGCAGAATTCCCAGAAACGGGAAGTCACTACAGACTGTGCACACACCAGCATCCCCTGATGTGCCGCAGCCTCCCCGCATTTCATTTTCCACGTGGTTCAGTGTAACCTACCAGTCAGTGCAGCCATCTGTGCTCAGTGCTCAGCAGAGCATTTTAATAAATAGCTACAAAAAGTTTCATTCCTGCACTGAACCAGAACAGATTCCGCCCCTGGCCCACGCTCCTGGACTGATTAGAAGCCCTGTCTGTCACTGAAAGCTGATGGATGAACGTGACCAACACAGAAGAGATTAAAACCTGGATCAAAAGAGTCATACAATAAGTTCAAAGCAATCATGACAAAGATTCGGACCTTTTGAAAGGGAAAAATCCATTTAATAAAAATTTTAACTGCTTTTAAATACTGGTCAGTCATTTAACTAAAACCCCATCCCACTCCAAATAAAAATCAATCCATGGGATCTTAGCCATAGCGGTTCTGAAATAATCACAGATTAACACTGGAGTGGTTTTCTCCCAAGGCATCTCATGCCAATCACACTAAAATCCAGAGTCCTCAAATACCCAACTTCTTATTTTGATACTTACTGCACAAAATTGGGGAAGAAGGTGTCTGAAGAGTCAAAGTTGAACCATCTTTGCGAGTGATGTTAACACGAAATACCAGCCTAGCACGTGTGCTTTTTTTCTTGGAACCAGCGATCCCTATCCTAGCTTCAACATCAGCATTCCTCAGCTTCAGTATTCCCACGCAATCAACCCTACCAACACAAAACAGTTGAGAGGTTAGAACAGAATTTAGTAAGTTCAGCATCTTTAATAGTCTTTTTAACTAGTTACACAAGCCACAAAGTCAAAAATCTTGAATTAATTACTGAAATATTATATTTTTTTCTGGTAAGCATTCCATTTATAATCCCAGATCGTCATTCTTCCATTCCTGAGGGTAGATCTGGGTTTGTAGGACTATAACTACACGATATTCTGCATTCACTTAAAGCAGTAGTAGAAGAAAACTTACTGTAGTCATATTATTTTTTATGCTCAGTGGAACTTGGAAGTGATAGATACGTCATACCATAACTGTGGTCCTATGGGAAACGTACACAGGGCCGGGGTGAGAGGCTGATGCAGGGCTGACTTGCACAAAGACATGCCAGATGCAAAATGCTTTCAAGCAAAACCAACCAAACAAAAAACCCAAACACAGTCTGATGTGTTAAGAAGAAGAATATTGTAATTTTAGCAGGACCTCAGGCCCTACATCCAAAAAGTACAGGGACCATCTGACATCTAACTGGAGTAGAATCAAACCTTTGTGCCGCATGAGGGCCAAGGAGCACCAGCGAGGGAGCACAGAGGAGTGGGGAGCGCGATTCAGAAGGTGGCACTGCCATCACCCTCAACAGAGAGGTGCTATGGTATCATCCAAATACGAGGAAGATTTCTTCTATACATCAAGATATATTGTGGGAAAACAGCCTAGGCAAAACTTTTCTTCCTCGTTAATTCCAAATTCATCTTTCTAATATCTCTATGCTGTTAATGTCATGGTTTTACATTAACGCTTGAGGACAGTCATAAAATTACTTCCAAGAGGCAGTTTCCAAACTTATCATGGGTGTGTATTTGATATTTAAAAAAATCAAACTGGTTCAGTCTATTAGCAAACTGTATTATTCTGCTTAAAAACCAGACACTGTAAATTGAAGTGAACGTTTCTTCTCTTGAAACAAGACAAGCTTCTAAGTAACAAGTGGCAGCTTTCAACCCCACACCAATTAAAAAAAAGAAATTCTATGGAAAAGAATACTTTGACAGCAAATCACTCCCTTGCTACATGTTAAGACACATGTGAAAAGTTTATTTGGGAATCACTTGTATCTAAAGTTTCTTGCGAGATCCAAACCACATAAGCAGAGAGGCCACTTGCCCAAAAACCTACTGCAGTTAACCACGGCCACCAGACCGGGCACAGCCGTGCAGTGCCCACCCGCGCCCGCAGAGCGCATCCAGAGCGTCGCCCGTGCTTGGCCAGACACGCTCTGCACACACAGAGAAGCAGGAGGCTGTGGTGGCAAAGGACTGGCTGGTGGGAATGACAGAAGTGGAACAAGCAGGACAGGAGACAAGCCAGAGCCCAGCCTCACTATCCACAACTCCCAGCCTTTCGGGCCCAAAGGGATCTGAAGATGCCAATATTCTCCTTCCCTCTTCTAATTAGCAATTCTGTGCTTGTTAAAAGACAAGACAACCAGCAGAACCAGTGCCCAGTTTATAGTTCACGGAATGCTTGAATATGCATATTATTGTTCAAACAGAACACAAAACTAATGTAAGAAAGTTAGTTGATAAAGTTCTAGGAAAGACAAGATTAAGCTTCAAGTGTAACACACACAAACTGAGAATGCAGAAAGTTTTTGTAGTTTCACTGAGTGCCTGGTGTGTGCCAAGATGTTCCGATTTTTAACTGCTAACCAATCCAATGGAAAAAGGAAAAATCAGTTTCTGAAAACAAGCTAATAAATCAAAATTATTTAAAAAAAAAATGTACTCACGCAAGTGTCATATTGTTGTTTGGGTCCAGTCCGACCTCAATAACCGTCGTCCCCTCTATATCCACCTCTTTACAGGGAGTGGTGTTTCTCCCAGTGACTCTGCAGGCCTGGTAGAACCCGTGCGGCTTCACTCGCCCGGAGTCGTTCCCCACGAACACCTGCAGCACCACTGGCTCGTTGTGACCCTCCAGCTGGAACAGCAACACACGTTTAATATTTCAATTGGCCAACAACGCCTCTTCATTAGAACAGGAAACAGTTTATGCAGCTGAATTTGAAGCCAATCTGCTCCCAGTGTTGCTGGAAACAATTTCAAGGGAAGAAAGAACAAAATTTTTCATCTACTTTATAACTAAAATGCTAATTTTTTTTATCTTTTGCCATTTGTTCTTCCATTAAAGGACAAGACAGCCATTTAATAAACAGGTGAAATGATTTTTAAAAAAATTATTTTATTTGTAAACCAGCTTGGATCCTATCTATCGACACAGAATTATCCCAACTCCAACTTCCAGGTCTCTTATGACCCCTTATTCTCAGCCCAGCAACGACTATTTCTCTTTCTCTTCCCAGGATCCTCCTTCCCCACCAGCATCTACATCCACCAGCCAGCTGAGAAAGAGAACATTTGCTGTGACTAGTTCCAAAGCTGAGCAGCACTCGTCGGGCAGCACACATATGCCGATCCATCAATTAGCACACCACGCTTCCAGGATCCCACCTTTACAATTTTCTAACGCTTGCAAAACCTCTGGATGAGTCAGGACAGGATGAGGGGGAAAGCAAGGGAAGGAATGGGATGAATGACTGTATGGTCCAGCCACGCAAACCTGGCTTTCCTTCAGACACCAAAATAAAAATAAAAAATAGGAACTTGACATCTCCTACTCAAAGCTGACGAACAGGGTTAGGATTCACTCAAACACTTGATAAATAAAAGGTCAGACATACATTTCACATAATGCTCCTGCAGTCCTCCTGCAATCCCGCGTGCAAGCCGTAATTATCCCAGAACACGGGGTAGTGGAAAAACACATTTGTTCTTATAACATCAACGTACTGGCAGGAAAGCGTGTGTGTTCTTTTAACTTTTTTTTTTGTGGAATCCCACTGTGGTGCTACGTACTCAAAATACTCTGATGTGGAAGTAAAACAAGTCCTGAAGTAAACCTGGACATTGTATCATGAAGTAACCTCTCATTCTTCTCAGGTAACAGAATGCTCCCAGTAAAAAGAAATACTAGATCACTGTCAAACTCCCTGGCCAGAGACAGAAATTCTTTGCCACAGCAGTCTAGGAGGAGATAAAATAACTATTTTCAATGTTTTCATTAAGCCATAATTGTTTAGAGGGTTCCTGGGTGACAACGCTGTTTCGTCCCAGGCCTGGAAGCCCCGTCAATACTTGCAGAACAAAACTCATCGTTAGTACGGAGGTACAAGGAGAGCAGAATCATCCTCTTAGGGGATCAGTCCCGAAACACTCACAAAATTTAGCTCTGCAGTTCTCAGCTAGTTCAAAAAAAATGGAAAAAAAAAAAAAAAATCAGGAAATACTGATAAAATCATCGTACGCCCTCATGTCCCAAAGGAGCAACCAGCGCACAGCAGATAGGTGGGCCATGACTGCTACAGGTGGGCAAAGCCAAAGGATTTCTGGAGGTGGCCCAGCACAGGCTCCCACGTACGAACCACAGGCTGGTGGGTACTGGTCACACCAAAGGGCGCAGAAGCCAAGAGAGCCCCAGTAAACAAACGATCATGAAAATACCCAACAAGAGAGAACTTAATTTCAGCAGCTGGTCAAAAGGACACAGGGAGTAAAGGAGACTCCGATATTCCACAGCTGGATCTCTTTTACACGGAAACCTGAACCAACAGTCTTTGTGTCATGTCACCGCGGTCTCCTTGGCTGGGAACGCCATCACCAGCTAACCGGTGCTGCTCTTCTCCCCCGGTGCTGGTGTCAGAAGCCATGAAAGGTGTGTGAGAGCACCTCCCATCATCTGGATGGTAACTGCTCCAGCTTTGCACCGGTTTGCAAGAAAACGTGAAAACCTGCCCCAATGGCTGGAATACCTCCGCTGACACTTTCCATTCAGGAAACCTGACCAAGGTTTATTGATGCGATTTTAATTCACGCAGATTGTAGACCCTCTAGCTTTAAGCCATCGAGCAACACCGTTTTCTTTAGAAGGCCACAGAACTTGCTTCTCCCCCTCAGCCTGCCCACGAGTGACACATCTGGATGGTCGCCCCTCGCAGGGGCTGCCAGAGAGCAGCGGGCACCGGATTTCTGTGAACCAGCAACACTTTTACACTCGTCTTCTGCATCTTTAAAACAGCTCGAAAAATCCCCAAACAAAACAAAACCAAACCTCTTGTCCTTTCCCCTAGCTCCTGTTTCCTGAAAATCCACTGACTCAGGGTCTGTCCAACCCTGCCGGACTTTTATCGGCAGCGCATGGACCAGTTTGCCTACTGGTAAAGCAAGCTTGAGCTTCCAGGAATTCAGTAACACCAGACTCTTCCAAACAGAATTTTCACTGATGGGTGCTAAAGGGTAACTGGGAAAGGAACTGAAAGGCAATTCAGAGGAACAAAGGCCCATTAAGAAAATTCACACAAATGAGCACTAAATCACCATAGCAACAGGACTATATGAATGGATTCTTTTCTTATGAAACTGTACTGGATTGCTACACTACTCAGGAGGACTGAGTGAAGTGCTGGAGATGTTTCAAACACTGTTGAACAGGCCTTTAAAGAGAAGTACACTTCTACATTCTGTCAGCAGTAGTCAGCACAAATTTTAAGGGCTGTACCATAAACAAATATTTCTTTGTGGACCCGGTAAATTAGTTTAGATTGAGAACTGCTTTGTTGCTCTTTCTCCAAGTGGCATAACTAAGAAAAAGTATGAAAGGAAGTGCCTTTTATCTTTCTTATTTGTAAGACAACAGAGTTGTCTACTCGCTCGACCCGCTGGCCACACTCCTCCCAGTATGACCAGGATGCCGTTTGCCTTTGTTCCAACGCGTCTCCAACGCTGGCTCGTATTCACTTCGGTGTCCGCTCCCACGTTCATACTGCAGTTGCTGCAACTTTTGTGGTGACATTTGACGTCAGTTCTTCTGTTTGTCTCTCTGTAAGGCAAGCATTCCTCCTGGTGAGTCCCTCTACCACTTGCATAGGAAACCTTCACAAGCAGAGTCCTAAAGTTCTTCGATTGCTTCCACCAGGCTGTGTAACCATCCTTGCAGATGGAGGGATGGCTGAAGTCTTTCTCCATGAGGGAGCTCTGTGAGCAGGAGACTCCTGTGAGTTACCCACAGAAAGCATCATCTATTATGTTCCCAGTCAGGCAGTCCGTAACAGATACCAAAACATTATTATCCCTCAACTTCACCCCTCCTTTGATCTCAACAGGCCAGTCTCCAATTTCACGCTGGAGGTCTGTGCAGTCCAGGAGCTCCTGATGATACCTGACTTCCTTTCTTCTTCCTAAACAGCTGCTGCACATCCATGACTGCGTTCCAGCCACACACACTACCCCAAGTCTCTGTGATTCCCATCGAGTCACAGCCCTGTGACTACACCAGGGAAGAAACACAACCTGCAAATTCACACTCTGCATTCGTGTGCAGCCACGGAAGGACAGCCTCTGAACGTTCTCCCTTCTGAGCAGCAGGGATGTGAAAGACCTCTTTGTAGCCTTCATGCATCTCTTCCATTTGTAGCTCCTCCCTTCCTCCTGGGCTCTGGTCCCCATCCTCAGATGAACTTACAGTAAAGCCCTCCTCACCAGGCTGGCAAGTCTGATCACAAACAATTTTCCCTCTCTGAGTAAGATGAATTACATCAGTCGTCCTTTTCTCCCCTCCAAACGAAGCAAGACCAACAAAGCAGCTAAATGTTTGCTTGAAAAAACAGCTCTGCAGCCAGGCCCTGGATCCTTGACAGCTTCTGCTCCATCCAGACCCCTCCCTTCAATCAGAAGGGTTGAGGACACCATTCAGTCCTGTGTGCCACTCAGCTGCGCCTCAGAGCCAGTGATCATCAACACCTAAACTTCAGGGCATCGAAGTCCACACAGGGGACCGGCTGCAAGTGTTGTGTGTGCCTACAGCTGCTTCCTCTGTTCTTCCCTCCATTCCTCAGTTCTACCAATCCGCGCGTACCTCGTTACTGCTAACCACACTGAGCAGTACGACCCATCGAGTACATCTCAGATCTTCATGACTCTACACTTGAAAGACAGACTCTGGATATGTGGATTCAGATACTTCGTATTAAAAAACACCCACACTTTCATAATTTTAAAATGAAACCTAGTTTTTATGTCCTTACCAATATGGCATAACGATGACCCACCGTCATCAGCAATCAAACAGTTACAGCATTTCATTATCCTGGTTTTGCATGCTTCAAGTGTCTATCTATTCACACAGTTTGTATAATTGTAGTCTAACAGGACATGCATCACAGATTATGTATCATGGCCTTGACAAAGTTTCCTTCCTCCTGTAACTTTTTGATGCAAACAAGACTTCTTGTTACCTGCAAGAAGAGATACAGTACAGGCTCTTCAGCAAAGAGAGCACAAAGCCTCTCCCCTTTCCCTCTAAAAACAAGAGATTCTAGACCTACTTGAACTGAACCAGTTCCCATTCTACTAAAGCTCCCCTTGGAAAGGTGTCCCTGTGTCACCTAACACTAACCAGCCTACCTTTACAGTTGGAAAGCCTTGCTGTGTCCGGTCTTTCACCGAGCCTCGGCTGCCTTCAGTCAGGTAACGAGCCCTGTGCTGGGTTTCCGGCTGTACCACTATCTTCAGCTCCTTCCCCTCACTCTTAGTTGGATACTGACCACACAGCATTGGGGTCTTCTTCCCTCCAGCTCCTTTCTGGTTCTCTGATGCTCTGGGAAGTCAAAGCAGACCATTAAAAAGATGTTATAAGCAGCTTCCCAATAAAAACAAGCTAAATCACAGAAAAGCTAAAAAGATAAAAAGAGTGTATATTAATGGATAGATTTATAGTTGAGAGCAAACTTTGGAATTCTCTTTCTGAGAGAGAAGGAAACCCGCAGGATGAAGAGGAACGGTGCTTCCCTGCCTCCTCCATCCAGTGCAAATGGGAACTGCTTTTCAGAGAGCAAACATAAAGGAAAGGAGAAGCAATTAGCATTAAACTGTGTTAAAACCAGAAGGCGGCTCACAACCTGCTTTTTCAGAGTTTACGATACAGCCTGCTATTATCTGAATAAGCTGTTTCGCTTCTGTAACAAATGTATGTTCACACACACATTGAATGGATTTAAGGTTAAATGATACTTCTTCAAACAGGAAAACAGCCTCATGCCTGTCTCCGCCTGAACTTGCACATCCATGCAATCCCAAATACTACTTTCTGTCACAACAGACAGATGTTTATGTTAAAACCAAATCAGCTATCGTAAAAAGCTGCACCAATTTTAGATCTGCAGTGTATGCAAAAAATGTTTCTTTCCAGGCGCGTACCTTAAGATGCACTGTGCCTTGTGTTCAGTTCCATAATTAAAACCTGAAGGAAGAAGCCCTCCGAAGCGTATCATCATGTGATCGATTTTGTGTTCACTTTGAAGCACAACAGAAAATAACTCTTGACCTCGTACCGAGCAGGTTTGTATTACGAACCTGAAGTCTAATAAACTCATTTACAGCAGCAACGTAAACACGCCGTGGCAAACGGTACTGGCAGAAAAAGGGCTCAATGAATTCATGCAGATGTAACACTTTTTTAGTACCAAAAAGTAGTTTCTAACAGCTAATGACTCTGAAGAAAGCAGTTTAGAATAACTGGTGTGAACTGCTGAAGAAACAAATCCTGTTTCAACATGCAACGTACAGAAGTAATTTATCCAGGATTTTTTTCTTTGCAGGGAGAAGAGTGAAAGAAATGCTTTTTCTTCCAACTCGTTTACTGAGAGCGTGGCCACGGCGGAGCGGCTCCCTGCCCTGACGGCTGGGGTGACCCAGAGCACTCGCTTCCCAGGCACCAACGACCTACACTGACAAACACCATCAGCATCTTTCCCAAAACTCCTACCGTGCAAGGAATTGCACGAGGCCACACGGTGCGCAAACACCTCCAAGTCATTCCCCAGCCCGGGGCTTCTCCTGCAGAAGGGCCTTCTCCTGCCCCAGGGAGGTCAGCACTTCGCCCCTCGAGTCCTCCACATCTCCTACCCCTGAAAGCCCCAACTCCCACGCTCCTATTTCTGCTGAAGCTTGCAAAGCCTTTCATACAAGGTGCTGAACGGACCCTGCTGCGCCGCGTCAGGAGGCCTGTGCTTTGTACCAATTTCATTTATGTTTTTCTGCCGGGGAAGGTTCGCCACTTGACCACGGGCTGCCCAGCACGCGGCCCTGAGCAGCCCTGCCCTGCCAGCTCTTCAGCCCAGCCACAGCAGAGAGGCAGCACCTGCATTAAAAAACCAGTACCAATAAACCAGTGAGAGTAGCAGGTCCCGATTACTCTGCCACCGTCTAGTCAAACAGGCTGTTTAAAAATAAAAAATGCTACGTAAAAACATAGCTTCTTTCAGTAAAAGGACAAAATTCTTCCTCAACGTGGCATGCACAAAACCCACGATACACTAAATAAACTGTAATTAATACCACTATGCTCTTTGCTTCTGCACAAGTTAAGCAAAACCACTAATCAAGCGGGCTCGTTAGATAATCACTTTGTCTATTCTTCCTCCAACAGACTGGTAATTACAAGGAAAAACATTTACAAACTTTCAGTGAGCATCTTCTCTTTTTCTCACTCAGAATTTTAGGTCACCCAACTCAATCAGCTTCCCACGCGGAAGGCGAGAAGGAACGTAACCACTGCGTTACTGGGAACGCCGTGCCGGGGCCCCGTGCTCGCCGCACCTCGGCTGGGCAGGCTGGGGAACACCCCGTGTAACGGCATCACACGGATTGCTTCGGCTGACCTTCTCACACTGGGAAGCTCCAGCTCTGTAAATCAATACAGGAGACTGAGATATTACGGAATTTTGAAGGGAAGCGTTATAGAGGCAGCCATCAAAATGAAATTCACTTTTAACACGCAAAACGCGAAGTTTTGGCCGTGTGACATGAAGTCTTTGGCCTCCCCAACACAACTCTGTTTTCCTGACAGTACTTTGCCCTTAAAACACAAGTTACCTTAATTTTCGACATGCTAATGTTTTATACACTGTCGTATTTATGCAAAGGGATGCTGCCTAACAATTATACTGGAAGTCCTCCCTCTAGAAACCTAAAGTAACTGTTACTTTCAATCAGATTAGCTGAACTTGAAAGCAACTGTAAAGCCTTCACCAGAACTTCTCAGTGGTCTGTCTTCTCAAATTCTGAGGAGGTATCATTTACACAGCCTTTGAATTTAGTGTAGTCAGAATACTAACATTTGTGTACATACAAATGGTAAAATATTGCAAACACACGCATTATTTACTAGCTTAACTGTTACCAGACAATGTCTCCTCAAAGCTAGCCCTTTTCTAAAAAAGAAATGTAAGTGGCATTAATTAATGGATCCTATTAACCCAGATTTCCCGAGTTAAGGTCTGCCTGGTCCTGCACTGGCTCCGGGGCTGTTCCCAGGAAAGACCTGAAAGCCAAAAGTGAGACCAAACAGGTCGGAAATCTGAGACTCTCTGCCCTAAATCACCAGCAATTCATCCATTTCTGAAAAGGCTTTCACAAATTCTAACAGTTTCCACAGGAATATATTCTCTTCCTTCCTAGCTCTTAAAGACAACTGACCAGGAGTCTCTTTTGAGGCAAACTCCACAAATTAGCGAGGGTGCTTTCCTCGCTCTTTTCTTAAAGCCAAAAGTAAATGAACTCCCTTGGCTGAACTCCATCAGGCTGGAAAGTTAAAAAAAAAAAAGTTGCTACTGTGACCTAGATTTCTAACGCTAAATCTCCATATTCCAATTGCAAACTTATTAATTTTTCTAATATCTTGGCCATTTCTCATCCCAGAGCTCTGAAATAAAAGGACAATTCTGTTACAGAAGAGTTGTGCTGCAGTTCAATCTAGCCTGTATACGGCACATTACAAAAAAATCCTGCTTATCTACCCCTGTGTGCGCAGAATGTTGCCGACAGCACCGACGGATATCCATCGGTTAGCCGTGAATAAGGCAGGGAATGTTACAGTCTTGTGATGTTTTAGACTGACATCATACATGTTGTTCCAGAGTTTGCTAAATCTCCCCTTTCTGCCCAGAGATCCCATTTACAGCCACACAGTTCTCGCCTGTTTGATGAAGTTTCTTCCCTGTGGAAGGGAGAGCCGGCCCTCTGTGCTCCGAGGCGGCGCTTCCCTAGCTCCAAGCAGCTGCTTTACAGGGTCCACCATGTACTAATGTTTTACTTTATTACCAACTTCAGCTGGTGAGGAGAGATGCTGGACAGCTGCGCTCAGGCTTACCGCGGCTGTTGTAAGGAGAGACCAAAAGATGCCAAGGCTGGAGGAGCCGTCTTGGCACCAGCCAGCCCGGCTCTCCCGGAGCCGTATCCAGGTGGGAGAGTTTCTCAGAATCTCTTTCTCACAGTGAAATTTTAAGTATGGAACTGCAATGACCCCGGGAATACAGACTCCATTCCCTTCGGAGTATGAGAAGTTCATAATCTTCTCCATCAGTCAAATTTTAATATTCACCATTACCGTGATGAACATTAGAACGTACTGCAAGCACATACAGAAAAGTAAGAACAGAAACGAAATACACTTCCCCCCCAAAAAAAAAATCAAAAAGGCCAAATCTATCCACTTGACCATCTTAAATGTACTATAGAAGCTACAAGTTAAAAAATAAAATTAAATTAAAGAATGTATCAACGCACTACTGTAAACTGATGGACTTTTTCCTCTTTAAGCAACTACTGAAATGCATTTAGTGAACAGTGTGAAGTGGGAGAGATGAGAGACCACCACCCAGGCGTGCCCACGTACAGACACACGCATGCACACAACCCAGAAGCACAGAGAGAAACAGGATTAGAGATTTATTTCTGAAAAAAATCAAATACAGAAGTGAATTCACATGAAAAAACAAAATCTGGTTCACCATATCATCTTAACATTTTGTAAAAAAGGATGTGTTAATTTAAACGATGAGAAATCTTAACAAGCCATTAACTTCTGCTCCCGCCACTCTCTCTATTTGACAAATAGAGGAAGAGACAAACACGAGCAGGTAAAGTGCACAGCCTGAAATCCTCACATAAAATCCTGCAAAAAACCATTGAGATTTACCGTGCGTCCAGTCCACTTCTGCCTTTTTTTTTTTTTTGAAATACAGTAACGTTTTCACTGCTGTCTTATAAATGGAACTGTGCAATCTTTCAGGAATTTCACTTAAACAAGAATACAGATGAGCTCATGAGTGCTGCACCCAATTGTTGCAGGAAAGTTTAGCTTTATCTTCTAAATAAAGATTAACAAATCTAACTAGAACTTATTGTGGGCCAGGACGCCAAAGGGAACAGCAGAGAATGGAAGGGATTTATGTGGGAACCTGAGCAGAACACTTGACGGGGGGCGGGGGGAGTTTTATTAGTTTGGTTTTACATATGGCAATAGAACTTTAAAAAAAAAAAAAAAGAAAGCAGATACCAACCCATTTCCTGCTTTTGAGCTGCCTTTGCTGTCCGTGCTGAGCTGAGAAAGGACATAGTGAGGCGCTTTGGCACTGTCGGCATCAAATATATCCATGTTGGACTCTTCGCAATCTCGACGTTTGATCCCTGGCCTCTGCTTTGGGTTTCGTTTGCGCGATTTACGTGGCACCTCAGTGTTATCATTGTAGGAACTGGTACTCATGTTACTGAAGTTGGAGGGTGAATCCTCCATCCACATACTGCAGCTCTGCTCTGACTCCAATCCACAGCCCTCATCCTGGCAGGACATCCGACTGTTGTCCAGTAAGTCCTCGGGTGGTGGCGAGATGTACAGGACTGTGTGTCTCTTCGGCGTTGACTGCTGCTGCTGGGCTGCGTTACTGGTTAACTGCTTTTCACTTACCCCTCGGGTACTTACCCCCACGGCTGAGGAGCAGCTCTCCACTTGCATAGCCTTGCTGTCGGTGACTGAGGTAGAGTAAATGGTAGGACTGGAAGAGGTGGTAAAGGAGCTGCAAGCACCGCCCATGGAGGAAGAGGAAGGAGCTGAAGAAGCATCTGCGGTGTATAATTCAGAAGTAAATACAAGATACGAGCTTCCGTGTGCGCTGGCTATAGCAGTCCCATTGAAATCAAGTGATTTGTGAACCGATTTCTGTCCCCCAACAAATATTTGGAATTTGGTTACGTTTTAGAATGTCAATGCGTCAAGCAACACGGCCTAACCGATACGGCACTTTGGAAATGTCCAAATAAGACTCGGAATGATCCGCTGGAATCAACTTTTTTTAAAACTTAATGTTAATTCATAAAAATGGCTGCAAGTAAACAGAGTTTTCGTTGCCTCAGCTGGACTAGTTATTTGTGTAGAAGCCATTTCGTCTAGAATAATGGAAGCCCCAATGCAAAATGCTTATAATCCACATTGAATGCCAATTAAACCATTTATCGTTGGAAAATTTTATTTTTGAAAAAGACGGGACTGTGCTTAGCCACAAAATATTAAAATAAGTTTCTAACCTATGAAGCAGAGAACTACAGGTCATTTTTAATGCAGACACTCCCTGCTTCAGAGGCAAATCCTGGAATAAAAATATGAGAAAATAAATGAGAAAAAGAGCTGCTGATTATTCCATCATAAATGAGAAATAAAATATAAAATCAACGGAGTTGGTAGGCAAAATGGAACTGGTATCAGTCACTATGTTGTAGCTGTTTATTGTGAAGGTTCAAAACAGGGATGAAATATCTGTATTGGTGACACACGGCGACACAAAATTTCTGGAATTTGACTCTTTCAGTCGCTGAGACCGAGCTCTCTCAGTATTGAGTCCCTGGTGCAGCCAGAGCCAGCTTGGGACACATCTCCGAAAAATTCCTGTCAAGGAGAACAATTCAAACAATGTGATTGTAACTTCTCCAGAGGTCACCGAGATCAGTCTGGTCTAGAAACATCAACGGACAGCGAAGCCGTTGAACCAAAACCCTGAAGATTTCTGGAGAACTAAAACGTTTGAGAGGAAGCAGTATGGACACACACAGGTATTTATTTGTTTTATTTAACAATGTGTTTATTCCTGTAGCTGAGGAATAACTAACTGAATTTTATATTCAAATTTCAAACTTTGTATTTCAAACTTCCTAGAGGGGAGATGCTACTTTCTGTGTTTCTGCACTGCTGATCACACCTTCCACAATAAACCAGAACTACAGAAATCATCTCATTTTGGAACAAACTGTACATCATATATATACACAATTATACAACACGTTCAGCGAGTTACTGGTGTCGTAGAGGTAATATCTGTTACTAAGAGGAACACAGTGTTCTCCTTTTTGTCATTTGGGATTTTTTTTAAACCCAAAATGTTGTATTGACCTCTCCAGTCTAAAAGGTCTAAAGATAGCTGAAGTATTTTATCCAGTTTAAGCTATTTAAAAGTAACAGAAGAAAGTCTGTTCAGCCATGATACATATATTTAACAGCAAAATTTGACAACCCTTCCTATAAATCAGTCTACTTGTGATTACCATGGAGTATCAATGACTGATGAGAAAGAATTTTTAAACAGTTATTGTTTCTTACAGCTTTTCTGTGCTAAATAAATTTAAAAGTCAACCTACACTACTTTGGATGGTAAAATTTAGAGGTCATTATAGTTTATCAATAAACTATTCTGCCTTTATCTTCATAGGAGGTTCCTTCCCCGAACCTCCCAGTGAACCAGGAGCAGATGAATGATACCAGTTCCATTTTCCAGCTTGTTCTCTGGCAAATACAGTGGCTGAAATTGGAGACTTCAGTCACTTTGAACCGCATTCCAATTTAAAGGCAAATTTATCCTTTGTATATCATGCATTAATGCAATGCTTTTTTCAAAAACATTTATAGGATTGGCAAGAACTATTAAATCTAGATATTAATCTCTGTGACAATATTTAGGAGCTGATTTGCAGCCACTTTGAGTTTAGAAAGATCATTGCTATTTGGGATGTTTCCTTTGTTTTGTTAGAACAGAATTAGTTTCCATTCGCCATTTATACGCTCAAACGGAAAGAAATAGAAATACGCAGCATGCATACAGCATCTATGCTGCATGCAGGTGTTTGCAAACAGAGTACACAGAGCACACAGCAGCACTGCTGCAGAACTGCATTCCTCAACAGCAATGTCTCCCCCTTTCAAAATCAGCTCTTCTTTCACGGGATGACACCGAGTATCATGCCCAGCACAACGCCCTGTACGCACGTCTCGTGTTTGCCTGTCCAGGACAAAGGCTGACAAATAAATAATTGTGTACATTGAACCAACTAGCAGGGCTCTAGAATTGCAAGATTTTTCCTCCAACAGGTTAAGATCAAACATTTATCTTTTTGCAGCAAATACTGGGAATGTTTTCGAAAGGTCTTTTACAAGACCTGTAAGAAAAACTTCAAAGTGACAATCCATACCCAGGTCTGCCAAACTGATCATACCCTGCTTGGTTCAATGCATATCCTGTCCAGAAATGCAACAAGGGCATTATTCCCTCACTGTCCTAGAAAAAAGAAATAAATACATCACTAAACAAAACACTCTTCAGTGGAAAGCTAAAAGAGCTGGTAATGGTGTCGTTATTTTAGGGTGCAGCATTTTGCAATATTTAAGTTGCTATCATTAATGCTATCCAAAAAAAAGCTTCTCCTCCAGGTTTTTCTCCTAGACGTTAAAAAGCATGACTGTGTCTATGTTTTTTCTTTACGTTTAAAAATGAAAAAAAATACTGTCCATTACAAATTGGTTATGCTCTCCTCCATTTATCAGAGACACCCCTGTGCATCAGCACGATGAGATTATGGAGACGGTATCGAGCTAACCAGCAATGGCAAGAAAACCTCTCCTCAGCCTCATGGTCGCCACCGAGCGCCACCACCACCCGGGCACGCACAAGGGTTTCAAAGCATGAGCAAGCCAGAGTCTTCTCTGCTATAGTAATTAAAAATATCCAAGAAAATACAATGAGTATTACAGCCAGTGAAATAAATTGGCTAGATTAGAACAAATACACAAATTTAGAATTTATTTTGGGGGATAAATGAATAATTGCTTTAGTAACGTTATGAGTTAGGCCAATACTAAGAAACATAGTAAAATTCATGTTTTCTCACAGAGTCTGCGTGCCTTTAGCCAACTCATCTTCCTCTGAACTAATAAAGAAAGAAATGGGGTCAACCAAATAAGAATTTGCACAGTTGCTGTAAAGAATAAACCACTGTATGTTGGCACGGCTCCCATTTTGTTTGATCAATTTATTCTAAAGCCGGTGACAACACGTGCGTATCTGCCACCCAAAGGACATCTCTTGGTTGAACATGCTGCATTTTGAAAAATTTATTCTATTTTATTCTTTATTCTTTTATTTTATTCTTTATTCTATTCAGGGATTCCAACTTGACTGGTCTTGCTTTCAAAGGTGAGAGCATTTTGCATTTTCTGGGCTGGAGGAACAAAGTTTTCCCCAGCGTGCAGATAACGAACAAAACAAAACCAGCGGCTGCTCAGGGCGAGGGGTGCACCCAGTCACTGGTCCATCAGTTAAGAGTGGAAATGGAACACACACCTTTCCCAGTTTAAGCACTGATTTTATTTGAGGTTACTTTCTGCAGACACACGTGAACGGGGATTGTTACAGGTGGCTCTTCCGTTTGCGATTTCGCAGCGCTTGCAATGACAAATGTATAGTCTGAATGAGCACGTACATTTCGAAATGTAACTCTGGATATATTTTAACACAGCCTCCAAATAAAAATTGCTTTCAGAGCAACAGCATTGCCTAGAAGCCAAGTGCATTTTATGGCAAGTAGGCAGCCACAGTATCATAAACGCAACGTGCACCAGCATCACAAGGTGTTTTTTTCCTTTTTCTTAATTAAAGAGAGAGAAAAGAAAACTACTTCCACATTAGAGCAACTTTGATCACTGTTGAAACTAAACCTCCTGAACCTATTCATTGCCATCACTGGAACATGTAAGGTAGTTGAAATAAGTAATTTGGAATTTGTTGCCTGCCCTACAAGCTTTTCTTCTCTAAGCGAGGCAGAATGATATCAAACAGTTGAGCGTAAGGAAGCCGTGGTTCTGACATCACAATTTACACATCATTAATAAGCAATTCTGTAATGTGTAAATTAAAGATAGAAAACAACCGAGAACTAACAGTGGTTAGTGCTGGAGCTCAGAACGCAAATAAGGATAACCAGTAACTCCGCACTGCTCCTAAGACAACTAAATTTCAAAGAAATTCCAGTTGTTCACGACACCAGTCATTTGCACGTTTGCTTCCCAGAAACTCTAAAAAGGTGCCTACTGCTCCCAAACATTTACCTCACCTTCAGGCAGTGAACAGAGTGACATTCACAACCAAGAGACTGAATAAGTCGGGTACTTTCTGAAAACAAAAAGCAGCCAAAAAGCAGTCAGTGGAATACGGGATGCAACACGCGCGTGGCACAGAGGCATGCTGCTAAAAATCGCAGGCTAATGTAAGATCAGAGACTAAGGGAACACACAGCAAAGGGCATCCCCATGAGCAAATCAGTGCAGTCTTTTTCTTTTCAATAACATAAAGCATTGTACAAAGAAAATTCATTACCTCCTGAGTTAGCAACTAAGGCAATGACATTTATTTCTATATCCTATTATCCTGTGAAGTCAAACAAGGCATTCAGCCTCTAAAAAAAGGTCTGAAAGGCAGGAGAAAGAAAAAAAGAAAATCACTACTTGGCATTAAGGGAGTCTTGTCTTTAGATAACACTTACGTGGAGCCAATCCTGAAATCCCTGTTCATTCTTTCCAAAGAGATCCTTAAATACAACAAGGATTACCAAGTTCTCAAAAGAAACAAATCATGTCCTGATGACATGGTTTTTTTTTTAATTGCAGCTGGAGTGCAAAGCAAGTCATTTCCCAGACTGGAAAGGTTAAGATTGCAAATGCAAATGAATTGTAGATATTCTCAGTTTTACAAGTTTTTCAGGACGAGCAAAAAGCCCTTAGAGAAGTGGCCTTTTTCCCAGAA